GTGTAGATATATGACTTTAAATAAATAGACAGTGTCAGCTAAAAAATCTTGCATGTCTCACGAATGTATCATAGATTGATCGTTTTAGCAGTGAGAGCTGAACTAAAACACGAATCAGCCTGACTTATTGCCAAGAAGTGAGAAAACCTGCGTAATTTGAAATGGTATATGGTTTCAACTTGCTAGCAAAATAACATAATTTATTGATTTGATTAAACTGGTTAATGTTTCTGACCTTATGAAAAACACTCACAAACACTGCTTCTATTTACAGCATAAAATGCCCCAGGCAGGGTTTCCTGCCTTCCACCTGAATCCTGGATGCTGCACCTGCTGCTGCAAGGAGGGAAAAGGAGGAAAAGCCAAAGGGCAGAGCTACCTTTCTCCCTAGACCCCTAATTACTTTCCAACATGCATAATTTCAATTTCGAATGCTTAGATCCGTCTATTCAAAATGTCTATTTGACATTTCCTCTCTATGTTTAATTTAAATGCTACATATTGAACCATCTAATGCGTCTGCACAATGTTATCAGAAAAAACAACAATTGAAAGCTTTCTTTTGTCACAGCAATGCATTTCTCTGACACATTGTTCTAGTCCTTTATGTATAAAGGAAAGCCCCCGTGATCCTGCAACATTTTATTTTTATACCTGACAAGGAGCAAAAAAATTTTTTAGAGTAGGGGCTTTTAGTGTTTTAAATATAATCTGTGCTCTCTTCTAGAGAATGGAAAAAGCCATTATAGCATTAGTAATGCCATAATGTCAGTAAGTAATGGTTAAGAATTCATGAGTCAAGATTCAGTTTTATTAAAGTTATTCAGACAGAGATTATACGCTGAAATTTACCATGATGGGTTTGGTATGTATGAATGAATGAGTTATGAAGTTAGACACAATAAAACTATTATTGCGCTTTAGTCCAGAGATGAACTCCGGAGCCTCACAGCCTGAGGGAAGAAGCCTGCCGGTACAGCAGCAGATACTTATGTACGGCTTGCCAGTGGGCAGCAGGGTGGACAGGCTGCGGCAGGTTTGTCTTTTAGCATCCTGTGGCCTCTGTGCAGACACCTCAGGTCACCGACGCTGAGTCTGGCGTCCTATCTCTGGCTGCACACGCATCCCATGCCAGTTTATTAACTTTCCAGTTAGGACGCCGCTGCATGTGCCCTGTGAGACAGAAAGATGTCGCTCCTGCCAGGAGGGTCTGAAACAAACAACGTTGAAAAAAGATTGTTCATGTTTGTTTCAGACATGAACGATCTTTTTTCAACTGTGTTAAGGTTTGTAGTGACTGACTGACTGTTTGTCTGCAATATGCCCTTCTGTGTGTTTTACTTTGAGGGTTTACCAGCACTAAAGCAATGTAGCTGTCAAATCTAAGCACACAATCTGCCAAACTCAGTGAAAGACAAGTGACATTTGGCTCTGAAACATAGTTAGTTGAAAAAGAAACCTCTCTCTCTATATATATATATATATATATATATATATATATATATATATATATATATATATAACAAGCTGTCATTTATTTAGCTCAGACACTGAGAAACAACTCCATGCTGCTGATAGATTTATGGGTAAACATGCTTAAAGAATGTCTGGAGTGACTAGTTACTAGTTTAATAAATATTTCGATCAAATGTTTTTGTATCAGGAGCTCAAGTGTGTATCTTCTCTGAGAACTAAGAAAAAGTAGAATTTTGCCTACTTGGAGGGTTTGTTCATTTAATTTTTTTTTTTTTTTTTTTTTTCTTACATTTGCCATATTATGTTTACATACACAGCAGAAATAGCTGAAGACAAAACTAACAAGAATAAATGGTAACTGGCATAAAATTGACTGGTAGGAATAAAATGTTATAAGTATCTCTGTGTTTGAAATTTTTTTCCCCTGGTGTTACAAACATCTATTCTCTAACATTAGCGTTTGCATAAACTAAAACAATTTTACTTTTACTTTTTTTTTTCCCTCAGTCAGTTTTGCTTTCATTTCATTATGGATCTCGTCCATTTTGATCTCTCATGTTGTGTTTCCATCTGTTCCAACTCTCTTGTTGTGTGATTTGTAATCTCAATTAGCACTGTTGGCTACATCAAACCCGTCTACTGATGTCAGACAAACTGTGGCCTCCTCTCTTATCCAGCGGTTGTTTTTGGAGGGAAGCAGCAAAGTGACAAGTTTGAACTGAATATTGTCCTGATAAACCAGCCATATCACTGCCAGAAAACCCAGAGAAGACTGTCCAGAGACAGATTTAAAAAGTACAGATGGCATAAAATGAATGAAAAAAAAATAAAAAAATCAAGTGTCACTCATATTGTTTCCACTGAGCTAATTTAGACAAATGACATGATGTGCTCAGAGTGGTAATGCTACTTTGGCAGCCCTGTGAATGAGGCTCATCTGGGATTACTTTAAAGTAAAAAAAACTAAAAAAAAGAAATGCAGCACTGTAGTTTTATGAACACTAACACACTAAAGTGCTGTCTGCCACAGACTAAAATACCAAAGTGTGGATATTTTATTGAGGAATAAATAATAAATGTGGTGCAGTGAATTAATCCGACCCCAATCACAGGCAGGATAGATTACATATCTGCACTGAAGGCAAACAAATGAAAAGTCCCAAGTTAGTTTTTGTTTGTATTCCTGCATTTTAATCACTTCTACAGTTTGAAAGATGTGTATGCGAGATATGCACGTGAGGAATAAAATGTTTATGTCCGACATCCAAATGCAAACAGAAGCAACGCATTGTCTCTGTGTTTACGGCTCTGAACACAGTGAATGGTGGGACGTCAGAGCAGAAAGAAGAGGGGAAGTTCAAGAAGAATAGAGAAGGTCTCCAAGAAAAGAGAGAAATTAAAAAGAGGCAAAATAAACTTTTTTGTAATGTGGTGAGAAATGACTGTAATGGGTATGCGTCTTGTTTATGTAAGACTGATTTAAGACCAGTTTTACCAATTTGCAGATGCAAATATAACTTTGTCAGTCGGTGTGTGCTGCATTTGAATTTTTCCCAAGATGCTTCTGTGGTTTACAAACAAAACCAAACTGACTCACTAAAAAGGATGAACACCATCACATGAAAAATAAAAAAATAAAAAACACACACCCCGCAATAGTTCTTCGTTTTTCTTTAAATATGCATCTCTCTCATGTGTTTTAAAGACAAAACCTCTGAACACGTCACCTTGGAAACAAATAATTTTGTTGTGTTTTAAATCATTTTCGGTTTGCTGCAGTGCTTAATGTCAATTTTCCAACCTCTGCTTGCAGGATTAGTCCTCAAAGGATAAGAAACAACTCCTCAACGGCAGCTGCTGTTTTAGAGCTGCTTCTGAATTTCTGAAAAGCTTTTAGTAGACAAATAAATAACTCAGATGAAATGTGATGCATCTAGAAGTAATTCAGACTAGTAGTTTGGTCTTGCTTTTCAAATTTTTACAAGTCACTTCTGTTCCAAAACCTCATCATCCAATTTGAACAAGTTGTTGAGGTGTCTGTCTCTTTAAAAACATTAGGTTTCATTCAACTTTCAAGCAGATAAATCTTCTCAAAGTGCAAACACACTGCTAACTTCAATTTATGACGACAGACACTGAAGTTGCTCACTACCAGGGCATCACTAATGATTTAAGACAAACGACAGCGTGAGAAGTCCAAAGGAAAATTAGTCTGGATTAAATTATTCAACAATAACGTTAGATATTATAGATATATTACCCGTATTTGTAAAAACACGCACACACACACACACTTTTGGTACACGTATTGTACCAAAAGAGGTCAAATGCTAACTGCCACTGAATAGAACAGGCTTCCATAAGAAAATAAACATTGAGAAAGTTTAATATTCCGAGATCTCAAGCCAACCCTGATCTATCCACAAAGTCTTTTAAAAAAGTCAGATCTAACCTTGAATATATTTTTTATGTCTTTTGTTTTATAGGTTAAAATGTAGCAAATATGAGTTATGTGAAAGCAAATTTAGCCTGACCAATACTTATTCGAGCAAAAAGTGGTAAATATGCACAAATATGTTTGAATAAAGACGTTAAAGTTCCTAAACTTGGACTTCCTGACATGTAAACTAGTGACAGCTTTATTTTTTTGTCTTTGATGCACCCTTCCTTAATTTTAACACAAATCACTCACCACTAGTCCTACCTATCTTTCCCTTTAGCCGCTCTTTTTCTCTTAAATTATGTCAACTGTGCCACCCTTACTTTCCTGTTTCACTCAAGTTTTATGGTCTTTTATTACTTTTTCCTGTTGCCTACATTATCTATTTTTTTTTCTCTCTCTGCCTCCGTCCCCATGTCTCTTTCCCCATCTGACCCAGAGGGCCTCGTTTCACAGAAATCCAATCCTCTCACTTTTTTAAACCCGCTGTTCCATTCCGCTCCCATTTTGTCACACTGCAGTGCGCACACAAAACCCCGCTCCTCCCTCGTTTCAGCTCCTTTCTCTGTCTCCACAAAACACACACACACACACACACACGCGCTCCCGGTCAAACATGAGCACAAACATACGGGCTGACATATTATCAAACATTTGTACAACTGCATTAACACAATTGAAACGTCGGCCAATAGAGAAAGAGGAAGACCTAATTAGTCCATCAATCAAATTTAGAGCTCTCAGTTGGATTTGTGCACACAGAAACACACATCCACCTCACACTCTCCCATGTTGCTCTCTGGACATTCATCACAGCTTCACTGACTCCATTCAACCTCGACTCACAACCAATCACACAAAGGTTAGGGACTGACTTGTGTGTTTGTGTGTTTGAGAGAGGATCACAATCTGCTGGCTTTTCCTGGTGATCTGTATTGTTTACTGTGGAAACATTCTGCCCACTGACACTGAGGATCAGCTGCTCCCTGAAATACACTGAAAATTATCCGAGGGCTGATAAACGTACCGATTCTCATTTTGCAGAACCCAAACCATGACAAAACTCATTTAAATAAATAAACCATGATGTTTTTTTTATAGGTTTATTTTTGATAAATAGGGTCCATAAATAATCACGTAACAAAAATATTTTGAAGCAAACATTCAGAATTAAAGCCTTTCTCTGGAATATAACATAGGCTAAGTGTTCCTGGTGAATAAATATGAATTCCTTCATTTATGAAATGTGTAGAATGTCCAGAACCAAATTATATTAAACTAACACAAGTTAAGCTAATAACATATAAACTGATCTGCAACCTAAGAACTGAACAATAACAATGCTTTTATTGTATTAAGATGTCAACATCAACCAGTGAAGTTAAAGGTTTTGTCTTCCAACTTAGGATACTTCTTGTAGCACAAGCAACAAAATGAAAACCAGAACTGGAGACTGAAGACATTTTTTTTTTTCTTTTCTTTTCTATCTTTCTGTGCTCGGCCTCGTCACGATGATGACACCCTTTCACTGTTGTTTGAGAAAAAGAGCAGCTCCGGTCTGTATCCACTGGTTGGGGTTTGGTCCGCAGGGCAGGGAGATGTGAGTGACCACCTTCACTCTCTCTGCGCTGGTGTACAGCGGCAGCCAGATGCTCTCCTCCGAGTCAGTGGAGTCGGCTGTAGAGATCTGGAATAAAGGGTAAAAGTGCAATATCTATATAAAAATATATACTGTATGTGCAAACCCTGCCTCTCGCAGGTTGACTGTTGGAGATCACTGAGGATTAGCATGTAAGATAGTGTGTGTGTGTGTGTGTGTGTGTGTGTGTGTGAGGATGGATGGATGGATGGATGGATGGATGGATGGATGGATGGATGGATGGATGGATGGATGGATGGATGGATGGATGGATGGATGGTTGTGCAAGTTAAAAACGGAAAGAGAGTGAAATGTGAACACTGACACCATTGTTTTTACATGTTTATCACATGGTTGTTTTTTTATTACAAAGAACTGTACCAAATACACATTTAGTTGTGTTTTTTTTTCTGTGACTTAAACGACTTTAATTTGTGTGTACCACAGGTGAATTTTAAATGTGGTCCATGAAATTCACATGTGATTTTTAAATTTTAAGTCATGCGACGTCACTGTAAACTAGCTTCTATTTCAGAGCTATTTTACTCTAAAATTGAGCAGTTAAAAAATGATTTAATCTGTGAATTTATGCGTCAGCTGGTAGATTTTAATTAGCGTCAGCCCTATAAGCAGGCCTCCATTTTCCTAGAGAATATGCTGTGTTGCCTGTCAGTAAAGACTGCAACAGTAGCTCAGTAAAGGCATGCTTTACCTTTGCACCCACTATTCAATATCCGTAATGACATTTAAACATCACAGATTAACGTAGACTATAACTGCCTTTCTCTCCGGTTTCCACACTGATTGTAATAAAAATGAGGTAGACACAGAATGCAAGTCCACTCAATTTGCACAGGCAAAGGCAGTGAATTAACAAGGCTTTTGCTTGACCTATAAAACTGCTGACAGGATTGTGGAAAGAGAAGATTGCTCAAATAAAGGGTGCACCTCAGCTGCAATGTTAAAATGAACTCTTAAATGCACGTTTAGTCTTTTTTTTTAAGCAAATCACTTTGACTGTTACATTTAGATAAAAAAATAATTTAGCCTCCGAAATTTACTCAATGTGAGCAATTCTTTTTTTTTGTTTTACAAGTTAGAATGTCAAACAAAGGTGAAGCAAATTGATTAAAGTCCAGCCAAGTCTCAGAAAACCTTGCCAGCTTTGTAAATGTAAAGGAAGTTTAACAACGCCGAAAGTGAGCTACCTGTGGAGCCCAGGCCATGTAGCATGCTGGGACCGCCGAGACACTGGGGGAATCGTGTTGGTTCTCACTTAAGTGGATCCCGTCAAAACGACACCCCTCCAACTGGAGGCCACCGACCTACAAATCCAAAGGGAAAGAAGGAAGCAAAATGAATCTGACTGTGACGACGAAGAGGGGAATCGACGCCAAAGAGAAGAGTGACGAGAGCGGCATAGTTGGGGCTCGTGCATTAAAATAGCCTAATGGAGCAAATATAAACTACGAAAGGGTGACGAACACTGAGGTCACTCGATGAAGAAGTTGCAAAACAGATTACATGAGAGACGCTGTTTGAGTGACTCAGGGATTTTCCACAGCAGGCCAGACAAAAGAAACCTTGGCACCAAATGTGACAAGCACAGACGACTAAAACTCTAAATCACTATAATCGGAGGACGAAGAAGAAAGAGAGAAAAAAAAAACGAGCAAGTGAGGGAGAGACAAATCTAGAAGAGAGATCATTGTGTGCATGCACTTATCTGTGCGTAAGAAAGCTCAACAATTATCCTCTCTCTCTTTTTGTGTGATGTTTATTTTCCTTTCCCTCCCTGCAGCTGCAGACTCCACCCTTCCTTTCTTCCTTTGTGTAGTTTAACAAAGTGCATCTTAAGTCATGCCAAGTTCTATTGGCATAACTAGAAATGAAACCTTACTCTAAAGGATAAAAGACAATGAAATTACATCAACCTCTGTCACAGCATGAAGGATAGAAACATGCTGTGCTGCTACGATGATTTACGGCCTTTTTAAAATCTTAAATATTCCCATCTGTCAAATTTCTAAATCAATCAAGACAGCTTTCAAAGACACCAGACATGTCCGTCTCTAATTATTGTGCAGAAAACCGTTTGCCGTCCATCTTATTCTATTTTCTTCTCAGTTTCTGCTTCAATCTTTGAAATCCCTGCTTGTTGTCTTTTGCTCAATTATTTTGCAATTGCCTATCACTCTACCATACACCATTTTGATTATGGTTTCAGTTTTCTGCAACCCAATGGTGGGATCTACAGTTGGCACACCTTATCTGGTCCAGGTCAAGTCAATCACAAATTTCCTGATCCAATCAGATTACAGGTAGGTTTGCAGATAGTAGGCCGAGTTGGACATCTGACTCCGCCCTCAAGCCGCTTTAATTAGACGATCCTTCTCCTTTGCTCCAAATGTCTCGTTTTACTTAAAGCAGTTCTACTCCTACAGTGAAGTTACTCTTAAATTGGATATTTGACACCTGATGGTTCTGTTACCTTCTTCCACTCTCTCCCTGAAACGTTTCTTTAAAATTAGGGTTGGCATCATAAAACCGTAATGGAGAGGATTGTGTGGCACGTCAAGAGTCCTGTATTTAGTGGGGAGAAAATTCAGTGTCCAGTTGCCTTACAACCAGGTATGTTACTTTCTTTAACATCACTGTCTTGTTAATAATCTATCAATGCCCCCAAGTGGTCAGACAGATCGTAGCTGATCACATCAGACTGTGAGGAGTTTTTAAGTTTTGGTGTCAGTTTTGAAGAATTCAACCTCTAGAAACGAGTGAAAAATCTGGAAAGGATAGAAGGAGATTATGAATTATTACTTTTGGTCATTGTTGATATAGTTGAGTAATAGTTGGACTGATTCTCTAGTATCAATACTCATGTGCAATTTACATGATGTGTAAAAGCAACTGAGCATGACTTTCTTAAATGAAGTCATTTAAACTGACTGTCAGCTGCTTCATATGCTCTACCTTGACTTGTAGCTTGGCCTGAGCAATTGGACTCCTCCATGATGAGACAAACACCAAACTATCCATGGAACAGCCTATGGATCTGAAAAAAAGAGAGGAAAAAAGTAATGATTTAAACTGTGATTGGCTCACATAAAAAAATGAAAACTTTCATTCCTACCTGGCCGTTTCTTGTCTCAGAGCGTTCAGGAAGGTATCAGGGTGGAAGAGCTCTGATAAATCAAGGATGTCAGAGAGGAGAGCCTGTCTGCTCGCACGTTCAACCCAACTCTGTGTCAAAAATATACCAAGAGGCACACGGATTTGTAAACCAATCGTTTAGAAAATAAACAGACTCAGATAATACATAATTCAAGCATTACATCAATTTTCTCCAAGTCAGAAAGAAAAATTTTACAGGTGATTTTAAGATGAGAGTACTTACAGTGTACTTATACTAATGAAATTGTTTGGATAAAAAAAAAATAATAATAATAAACTATTAACCATTGATCAAGTTTAATGGCATTATTTGGTCGCAGACATGTTTAAAATGAGCCAATCTGCAACCTGACAGTCCATGTCTGAGTTAGATAGTACATTAGAAATATAAACTAATAAAATAGAATATTTAATAGAAATGCGCGATTAATAAGCTACTCCGACTTTCCTTGTATTTTTTATTACCACACAACAACCTGAAAATACCGCAAATACAATCACCTGCTAATGAGAACATAATGAATAACTAGAACAACAATTATTGACCTGCTTTTAATCAAAAGAATCCAATTTTTTTAATCCCCAGAAAAAAATAAATAAATAAAAATAAAAAATAAGCACTGCTCTCCCTATGCATTGCTATGGCAGGCCCCGGTAAACAAAGAACACAGGGAGCTATAGACATGCAGAGTAGTAACTGTTTGCACAAAAAAATACATAAATGGAGAGAAAGGGGCCAAAGGAAAAACAGAAATAACCAGTATGTTGTGAATATTTGCATAGCCAGAGATAAGAGCCTTATCCATGATGGTGATCTAGGGCATCAGATCAGACATCTGCTTTGATTAGATAAGCAGCTTCCTTCTGTGTCACTGCAAAAACCATTTAGTTTTGTCCCCAGGACAACTCATCGGGTAAGAACACTGTCCTGCTTCTTTGCATCTTTTTTTAGTTACATTTATGTTTTTGGGGGAAAAAGCTGCAGAACTTTAGAAAGGAAGTCACTTGAGCATATATATTTTTTTCTATTCTTAGAGCAAAGCATCTTTTCATTTATGCATGGACAACAAAAGTGGAAAGATTTAAGAATCAATGTTTGATTTTGGTCTCTATCTACTCTCTCTTCCTTTAAACAGCTGTATTTAAGCAACTTCGTCACAGAGTTTAAATCGGGCATAAAAAAAAAATCCAACATGATGAACACCGAGCGTATAGACACTGTGTCAGGGCTGTGAGAATTGGCTGTACAGTGTGCTGCGCTTCTTCCAATCTAACTTCTCCACCTTACTTTTGTTCCTCAACAAGACAATCTACATGCTCGTCTATTTAGATAATAATATAATTATATAATAATATAAAGTTGATTAATACAACTTCATTGCTTTATCTCATTTAGTTTTCTCTGTGCTGTAGGTACTGTAAGCGTATCAAAAAAAAAAAAAAAAAAAAACCGTCACAGCAGCCTAAACTCAAAAAAAAAACAAAAAATGTCATAATCA